TTGTTTGCTCCTTCACTCATATCTATTTCTTCCTGTTATCTGTCTTGCAAATTAGACACATGACTAGTCAAAACATGGCGGGTAGGAGGCGGTACTGATGATTCCTACTCTTACCCGCATGTACTGTTTGGTCTGTGTACGCAGTTAAGGGATGAAACACAGACTAAGTCATAAAATGCCTTCAAGCACATGACATTCAAGTGAAATCCTTTCATTCTTCTATTTGATGCAAAAACACACGATCGCAACGGCTCGCCTGGTGCGTTTCAGCTTGGGTTGCATTTACATACGTGCAAAAACTTACAAAAGCAACTACAGTACTTCAAATCGCGCAGGATACTGTAGCCTCTCTTACAAGCCATAAATTCCAAGGGGTCTCGACTTAACAATCCTCCGCTCGAATCAATCTTTTACTAGAAACAAATACTAGCGAGATTACGTACATCTATTTTTTCGATGCTTACCTTGAAAGGATAAAAGTCAGGTTGGTTGTTCATTCAACAGACCACAACATCTTCAAAAAAAACTGCACCTCCGTTTTAATTGTTCAGTGCACATCGCTATTCACTGAAATCAAAATGAACTGCAAAGTCAAGTCTGGTAGTTGTTAGTCAGAGTATAAAAGCAACGCCGTAGTGCACTGCATTTTTATACAGAATTGAAAAAATCCATTTATTCTACGGGAGATTCAGACTCTCGAAAGTACCCCGAGAGTAGCAAATGCCAACAGCAATCACTCACTGGCAAGGTTGTCGATGAACCCTCTTTCGAAAATTGCTTAGAAACAAGTTGATGACAGTTTCGAATCTCTTCGGAAACTGATAATTTCAGTACATATGACTTCGGTCGTGTCGGTGAAACAGTTTGGCATTTGAGATCATCAAGTTAATTTCACTAACAGCAGATCTCCACAGCGGTTGCCATACGATCTTTATTGCTCAATGCAGGCATTCGAAGAGTACCACTGTGAGCTGCAATCCGATATTATCGTACGCGGGCATATTGATTCATTAACTGATACGATGCTCGAGAAAGACATCAGTCGCGCTATTGAACCGTACACTCTCATCGAAGTAGGGACAGTCAGATCGTGATTTTCGCTAAATTTTTTTTTTTTGAATTATTTAATTTTTCGGTAACTGATAAGCTCAAGAAACAATACCCAAAAAACGGTGCACAGCTGCTCCGGAAAGCTCTGCAACGAAAGCAGCGTAACAATTTCTGCTTTCCAGCTCGACTAATTCTATCAAGATTGAGCTGAAGTGCCAATTCTTCGACGAATTACTTTTGAGTAAAAGTAAAATATGTGTTAGTTGTTGTGCTTTCAGCTGGATACCCTGGCCCGAAATATTCATCTTCCAGTTCAGCAAGTAGAGAAGAAACTGGCGCAAATGATTCTTGATAAGAAATTCCAAGGTCATTTGGATATGATTTGTTTAACGCAATTTCTTATACAGCGTCGAATCTCAACGTTCAGGAGAGTCTGGGATTTAGTGATTGAGGTCTCCGGATTGTCAGCGTGAATGCATCTATATCTCTGGCTATAAATTTAAATCAAAGCTAGGAAGCTGTAACCTTCGGGACAAAGTTTCCAATGAGGTTCAAAGCTAAAAACCTGCAATCAACTT